ATGTTGTTTTCCAGGATGTCAGTTGCCGCTTGGAGATTCAGTTCATGGATTAAATGGTCTTTTTAGAAAAGGAAGTATAGGTCCTTACCTGCTGACCTTCAAAAGCTATTATCTACTTATCTAAATGATTTATCATTGTCCTTGAACTCGACTGAGTCAACGGGAAGGATACTGCTGAACAGGCTCTAAAGTGATCAGTTATGGAGCTATAACTGAACACGGATAGCTGTCATTGTTGCATGGAAACCAAATAACATTTTAGCAACCTGAGATTGGGAGACAACCTCCTGGCTATTTGTGCTCTTGTAACCATTATGTTTCTATAAGAAGACCACATCACACCATCAAAGATCTCCAGTACTCTTTATTTAAAAAGTATTTCATGAGTTATTTATTCATCTATATTTAAATTCATATTTTTGGCCCATTTAATTAAGGTTATTAATCCGTGGTACGGACCCCTTTTTATATAATTATTAACATCCGGCTGAAACTTCGTGAATAGCTCATCTCATCGTAACCTACAAGTATTTTATTTACAAAAACTCTTGGAATTGGGGCGGTTTCAATCTGGAGATCGGCAAACTATGTCTATTTAGGCACTAAAAACTCGTAAATACCCATTTGCTTTCGACTTGTATCGTTGGATAATTTGATCACAAAATCGATAAGAAATGTGGCCTACTAAAATATTGGGCTGTTTGACCTATATAATCTCGTTATTTTGACAATTCGGGGTTGTAGGTCACGCCAAACTGTTAAATATTTTTGAAACCTTTTTTCTTGACTTTTTGCTCAAGTTCCCAGATAAAACGCCCCAATTCCAAAATTTTCATAAATACAATATTTGTTGGTTATATTTAGTTGGAGCTATTTACGAAGTTTCAGCTGGATTTTAATAACTTAATTAAAAGGGCTCTCTAGCTCGGACTGTATGGTCCAAATAAAGAAACTACTTTTCAACACTACATTGTGTAACTTCGTCTTTTTTTTTCGTACCCTTTTTTGATGACGATTAAAAATAAAAGTTATTTTTAGACTACTGTTTTAAATTATCTGCAAATTCATATTATTTGAAATTTAGCCTAATAACGGTTATTATGTTTTTCAAAAAAAGGGCTTTTAACTAGAGTACATTTAACATAACTTTAATTACATAATCTTAACGTGAATTCATTATAATGGCATGCTTAGAAAAATTCAGTCTTTGCTACTTTCAAGCTAAAAAGGTTAACTTATTATAAGCTATTAGAGGTTAACTTTTATTTACCTCCTATCAATAAAAAAAAAAAAGAATTACTTTGTTATGTAGTCCAACACTTTAATCATGGAATGTATGACTAAAAATAATCTCAATTTAGTATAGACAACTTTTCTATACCATAGAAATGATTATATGCTTCTGCAAATATACATATTCTCTGTGGGATGTTTAGATGTAGACAAATTTTATAGGTTAATTTTATTTAATAATTTGTCCCGCATCTATTTTACATCAACAAATCTAATGCATATAGTATGTATTAGGCAACATTATTGCTATGCATTGAGAGAGATAGCTTTCTATTTTTCTATGAGTTTGGTTATTCATAATATTAGAACAAATTGATGCACACTTTTGAAAAAAAAAATATATATATATATATAATAAATCGGTAATTTATTTCCAAAGTAAACCACTATCATTGAAAATTGTTTTTTAAAATCAAAACAATTTTTAAAAAAATAAATGAAGAAATTCTTTATATGCAACACATACTAAGATGATCATAGATTATTTTAACATTAATTTAAAAATATTGGAACTTGAATAGGAACACTTCTGGGACGATTTGAATTTCAAGTCCTATTATTTGGGGAGAGAACAAATTAAAATTGTTTTATTAAAAGTTACTTATTTGATTGTAATAATGGTGTTATAATAAAGTTATTTTTAATATACATAAAAGATTGTTAAATGAATTATTTTTTTTAAATACTTAAAAATGTAAACATCGTTACATTTCTAAAAATAAAGGCCAGCTTTAAAATTAATCTTATTTTCATGCCATTTTTTTCAATATTCAGTTTCTGCTCAAGGTTTATAAATTTAGTATTTTAATCTATAAATAAAAATAGGACTTGTAGTTTTTAAAACTTCTATTTTATCTTTGGAATAATATATCTGTACATTTTTAAAATGGGATGTGTTTCTTAAAATCTTATGGCCAAGAAAAGAAAAAAAATCCTAATCTTATTAATTTGCTTTCACAAACTTATATCTTTTTTTTGATTGTTTTCAATTGCTTTAAAGTTATTATCTTAAGGAAGTTCGTTTGATCCATTGACTTTTAAAGTTAAGAAAATAAAAAGAAAAGTTTTCTTAACTTATAAATCATAAAATATATTGTACTCTTCTTGAGTACACTCTCTCGTAACTCACATATACAGTAGTTTATATAACCAATATCTTTATTAATAATATTTAAGCATTCAAAATTTTTGTTGTTCATAATGCTTTTGGTTTATGCCGAATTTAATTATTTTAAATTTTATAGGTCTGAAAAAAAAGAAAAAAAATCAACGATCAAAGACAAATACAAAATTTGAACAAAGTATTTACATGCATATTTAATTGAGACAGGTATAAGTGAAATACTTTTTAACTGATTGTTAAAAGGGGGGGGGGGAAATAATTTTGCTATTCTTGCTGGTAACAAGTTTTTTATAAAGTATTTAATATTTTTCTATATGTATATGTGTAATTTAATTTAAATATAATCGTGTTTCTTTCAAAACAACCATTTATTGATATCATAGCTTCTTGAATATATTTTTCAGTTAATTTTTATTAATTTATTTTTACATTTTTGAGTTAAGAGTGGATTTATACATATTATGAATACATTTATCTATAGCCTCATCCTTTATTGAAAAAATAAAATATATTCCTTAATCCACGGGTGCTGAAATTGTGCTTGCCTATCCTAACCTTTCACAGCGATCACCATGACAATCAGTAACCACAATCCCCTCAGGGCTGCTCTTCAACCATTTTTTTTTTTAATAAAACGTCTAATAAGTAATAATTAGAATTATAAACCTGTTTTTTTTTAATTGTCATTATTGATATAATAGTTTTTAACAATATTTTTTAGTCAATTATTAATTTTTTTTTTCCAAATACGAAAAAGAAATTACAAGATTAGTAATTTTGCATTAAAATACCTTATCTGATCACTAATAAGGATTTCTTTTGCCAAACTTGTATTTTATTTTATAATAATTCTGTGCATGTGATGAAACACTGACCAATAAAATTCATTTTAAATATAGTATTTTGTTAAATATTTATAATTCTTAAAATGAAACTTTATATCTTGTATGAATTTTTAATTTATTATTAAATAATTGTTTATAAGAATCCAGAAAAACATAAACAAGTTGGTGGCCACCACGTGACTCTCAACCTATAATACCCTCAAGTAGAAAAAGATTGAGGACTCCTGCCGTATATCAAAGAAATGCCATCAGAAATCTATTTTGGGAAACTTTTACGTCTAGAAGTTCATTTGTTTTATAGTTTGTTTATTAATAAAGAATGTGACCTTTCTAATTAATTTTCTCCATTAGAAGAATTGCACTTGTAAACATTTTTTTTATTTATTTTTTTATATTTGTTGGCCTTAAGCACGTCGACCCCTACTGGGTCCATAGTGCGCCAATTTCAGTTAGTCGTTTTGTTTAAAATGTTAATCCTGTCACTTCTGTGTATCTAAGTAGGCTGATTGGATTGACCGACTCATATCTTCTGGGGAGATCCATCTGTTCCTCCCCAAATACCACCAGTCTCAGCCTTATAAATCTATCACATCTGCATATGATGTGAAAAGCTGTTTCATTCTCCTCCTGACAGAATCTGCATAGCGGATTCGTCATTACTCGGAGATTGAACATATGATTATTTGTTTAACTTACAGTGACCCGTATAGATAGCTGTAAGCTTTTTAAGGGCTGTTCTGTCCATGTTCAGTAGCTGTTTACTTCTTTTTTTACATGGACCTTCCAGGAACAGCTTCGAATGTCTCTGTTTCTTGTCGGTCCAGTAATTACTAAATTTGTTCCCCTAGATCTCCCTGATCCTGCCCTTGGCAGTACTGAGGCTGATTCCACAGACAGGCTCGGTAGTTACAGGAATGGTATCTGAGCCCAATCTGGCTAGCTCGTCAGCCACCTCGTTGCCTGGTATGCCAGAATGACCTGGCACCCACTCCACTGCAACTCTGTTGTGCTCAGTTAGCTCGTTAAGTGCTCTATTGCATTCCTTAACGACCTTTGAATAAACACAATAGTTGTCAAGAGCACCTATTGCTGCCTGACTGTCAGTATAGATGGTAATCTTTTTCTCAGTCACATTGGTTTGCAGTAGGTTTTGTGCACAGTGGCAGATTACCAGTATTTCAGATTGAAACACTGAAGGATACCTGCCAAGTGGTATAGACATTTTTTCTTTTATATCTTTGCAATAGATGCCTGCTCCAGAGCCGAAGGCTGTTAGAGAGCCATCTGTATAGCAATTTATTTCACTATTTGGTTTATGACTTCTGCTGCTATCTATCCCAACCTTATATTTTCGGTCCTGATATTCTCGGATTAGAGTGTCAGAGTGCATAGCTAGTACTCCTTCACATCCAATCCTGTTCAGCAGTATAGTGTGTCCTCCTTGACAGGGGACTGGTGAACAGTAAGTTGACTTGCTTAACCTGTACAATGTATTTGTTGCCCGAGCCTCCACCTCCAGCTGCAGCAGAGGCATGCTCAGCATCACCTCCATGGCAGCCGTTGGTGTCGTGCTCATCGCGCCTGTTATCATTATACAAGCAAGCCTTTGAATCTTTGTAAAAATAATTGTAGGGATTTAATAAATTTTAATTTTACAAGATGTATGCATGCCTAAGTTTTACTAGTGTTATTTATTTATAGTACTCTATTTTTAAGATAAATTGAAACATGTGTTCTAGGTAGAGGCAACCGTTCCACTCATTTCAATACCTTCAATACCCGAACCTCAAGCTCAGATCCCGAAAGAATAACCTCCAGTATGGATATCGCCTTTCTGCGGCTATTTTCTATTCTTTTTTTTTTATTTATTATCCTGAACAATTATTGTGAATAGTCAGTATTTTTCAGTTTAAAAATTAATAAATGTATTAATCATTCAATTGATTTAATATTAAATCGTCAATTACTTTTCTGTTTTTTATAATCTATTCATATAAAATTTTTTTATAATTGTCATTTGGTTAAACCAGATCTTGTATTATATCGATTAAATAATATATAAATTTGTTTCGAGCAAAGTATTAAATTTTGAAAGTGAGTTTTTTTGAATTATTTGTTTTCATTTAATTTTTCTTCACGGCATGTTGTCTGTTTGTTAAAAAAAAAAAAAAGCATCAAAATGCTTTTCACTTTTGTTAAATAGTTTAATTTGTGAAGTATTGATTAAGTTTGTTTATTTATTTGTAAATAATATTATCTCTGAAGATATTAACAATCAAAGTGTTTTGTATATACAATATGTGCTCTTAAAAGCGTTTTAAATTTCCGTTTAGATAAATTTTTTACGATAAGGTTAAAAACCAAGAAAAAAAAATGTTCATATAGAAAAATTAAAGATCTATGAAGCATCTATAGGAAGTTTTATTTTATTTTGTAATTTCTTTTTTAGGTTTTCAGTAATGTTTCTCTGAAAGTATTACTAAAATTTTACATGTGGTTATTTATTTATAAAAATGATTATTCTAAAACAGCATAATATGTTGCATTTAAAGTAACAATGAATAAATATGGAATCATATTTACTTATTCTAATCATTATAAGTAGATTGTAGAAATATCAAATTATAGAAAATACTCTGTATACAATTATAGAATGCCTTTAAATTAATTATTAGTTATTTTTCGTTCCAAATTGGATATTATATTAAATTTTATAAAATGCTGCCAGAAATTCAATTTCTTGTACGTGCATTTCCTTCACCTGATAAAGACTGGAATAATGTGAAGTTAGATGCTGATCAAAAGGTGAGTGAATGAGTAGATAAGATTTGAATTTTATAAAAATTTAAAATTCAATTCTGTTTTTATTTATAAAACTGAAGAGTGTAAATTTGAAATAAATTGTAATCTTAAAACAAGCCTTATTAAATGCCTGATGGTTATTAGAATAAACATTGATTACTTTATTATCTGAAGTGGTTCTAGTTTTAGAATAAAAGTATAATTTTTTATACATCAACATATCCGAGGATTTTTTATGATTAGTCACCCCTTCAACTTTCACAGTTTCTGCGATAAACTAGTCGGGCTGTGAAATTTGAAAGTTTATTTGGAGTCGTATACACACTAAGAAATCGAAGATATTTTTAACTTTTTTACACTATTCATTTTCTGCTGAAAAAGTTCTAGAAATGTGCGAATATCACGAAGGCTATCTCCTCTCCACGATGTTTAATATACAAAAATACGTTATATATTCAATTGTATTTTTATTTTGATATTTTCTCCTTAAAATGCCCTCGGGCAGTGGAAGGACTTTATTATATGTATATATTAGTATTGTTATACTACTATATGTAATTTATTAAATAAACGTTTTGGGAGATTAGAAAAAATAAAAATAAATAAATAAATAAAGATATTTTGATATTCACAAGTATATAAGACAAGTAAAAGAAAATAAATAAAAGTCCTTACAATCATTCAAACATATAAACAAATTAATTTTAAATATTCAGTATTATATTTGTTCGTTTCATAATAATTATGTTGAATTTTTACAACTTCCACTATTTTTTTTTTTTTTTTTTTCTCATCACCCCTCCTATCGAAATTGAAAGTCTGCGCCTATGATATACATCTCATTTGATTTTTTTTTTTTGTTCTAATTATTTTTTTTCTTTTTCTTGCAGCATATGATTAAATATCGCTACCTGCCATTCACGCACGGGAAGCCAAAGTATTCTGGACTCAACGACACTGGCAAGGTGATTAGCTCTAAGTGACAGGTGATTACCACCACGAACCCTTTAAACGTGCTGCCTCCGCTGGCTATAGCCTTTTCCGATTCCTTCCTCTTATGTTGTTGACATTTTTTCTCTTTTATTTTACTGTTATATTAGAAGAAAGGTCAATTATTATATACGCACATCCCTCCTTTATTATTGGAGTTCATTATTAACTTTCAGCTATAGTAAATAAAAAAAATGTATTAATGATATTATAACATTTTATATTTGTAAATTTGTATTTAGTTTTGCAATAGCATGATCTAATTGGGATAACTGCTTTGGTGATTGAGTTGAGAGGCATAATATTCACTGTGAGTTGTCTCCGACTCTTGTAGCCATTATAAACAATCAGTTGCAACGAATTTCCAATTGTATATATTGTACCTAGCGGTCATTAAAAATGACTAAAAACATTGGAAGTGGTGCTAGATGCCTTTATATGAACTGTTATTGATTTGTGGAACCGCTTGTCTTAGTTACCAACTTTTTATAGATAACTGTTTTTTAATGTACAGTTAGTTATCTTGGTGTTATAACAGTTAGTTATCTTGGTGTAGATTAGATTGAAGCTGTAAATAGTCTTTTTTGTTACTGATTATTAATATATAATAATTCATGTAATGTATGATGGTTGCCTCTCTGTTGAGTTAGATAAAATAAGTTTTAATTCTAAATTAATATTTAAATTTACATCATGGAATGAATTTTCTAGTCGTAACTAATGAATTTATAAAGATTTAATCGAATCCATATAATTCCGTTGAATATTTACAAAACTTTTAAATATAACAAATTATGAATTAATTGCTATTCTGGCCCCATTGTACATAAATTTTTAATTTGGTACTTTCATTATTAGGGTGTTTATCTTTTTTTTTTTAACCCTCCAGTACAAAAATATACATTTAACTATAGCATATGCAGATATCTGAAAAATCCATACAATTTATTTGCTGTCGGGTTTATAATTACAGAACCTAATATAAATTTTGATTTCTATTAAGAATTTGTGAGTGGTTAAACGGTAATTATCAAATCATTAAGGTTAATTTTCATTATCTTCATTCATTATTTTACAATAGGTAATTGTATATATTTATGAATTGAGGAACTTTAATTCATTCATATTTATAATTTTAATTTGGAATATCTCAACGCCGCCACCCCCTTGTCCATTTTGCCCAAAAAAGTTAACTTTTATTCCTTTACTAAAACTTTAAAATTAAACTTTTCCTAAGATATTGAGCTAACTTATAACGCTTTTTTAATGAATTCACATTGATATTTGTAAGGGCTCAAGTTAATTATGTATAAATTAAATGTTTATGTAAAACTTGTATTCTCTAATAATAATTTTTTTGTATTGATTCAGAATTTTCTTCTTATCACTGGATAAAACTCGCAAAGGTTTAAATTTCTCGTAATTCTTCTAAAATGTTTTTTTTTTAACCAGACCTATTTGTCAACACATTTTTTGTATTGCTGTCCAAATTGACAAATATGAGACTTGACACTTTGTCGGGTTATTAATTGTTCTGGAATACTGACAATCAATATAAAAAATTAAGATCGAAATAATCCAAAGCTGAATTTGTTTTATTTTAATTTTTAACATAATTTTACCAGGAAACACAATAACCATAACTTATCTGATACAACAAGTATTATAACAAGAAATTAAGAACAGTTGACAAGAAAACATTCTGAAATTGTAATCAATTAAAAGAATTTAAAATAATTAATGTGAGGCCAGATTATTCTGATAGATTATCAATGCTGGAGGGTTAAAAGTAAACAAAAAACAAAGAAAGAAAAAAAAAATCGGCCAAAATGATAAATTTATTTGCTGACAAATATATTAACATTTGATTAAATAAAATGTTGTGCGATTCTTATATATATTGTTATGTAGTATTATTTATTTATATGAATTATTTGTTGTATTTTGTAAAACATGTTTTTAAATTACATATTGTCATTGTCACTTCAAATTTTTCAGTTTAACCCTCATTTTAATTTTTTTTTTTTTCTTTATATAGATCATTGCTCAATAAATAATGTGTAGAAAAAAAATTATATCATCTTTTCAAATTTCCAATTTCTAACTTAAAATTTTTTTTTTTTTTCGTTTGTAACATTGGTACCAATTACATTTTCCTTATATTGTTTTACGCCGTGCTTATTAATTTGAACTACTTGTTTGAATCAAGTCATTTTAAGTTCTTTTTTAAGCAATCTTAAAACTACTTTGCACAATGAAGTCACTATCCAATGGATTCAGGGTTATTCTGGTATCACAGGTAACAACAAAGCGGATCAATTAGCCACCAAGTCACCACGAGGAAGAAACTGAACCTGTCGGTGGGGCAAGTTTCGGAGAGATTAGGCTTAGGCTATTTGGAGTAAATCGATTGATGGATCAGAAGCGGGATATAAATTATTTATTTATGGTAAAAAAAAAAACATACCTTATTTTTATAACGTTTTTCTTCACTGTCTCTTATTGTAGCGGTACATCTCGTTAGCTTAAGGTATCACATGTGATAATAGTTAATAAAATTACAAAAAAAAATATTAAAAACGTTAATAGTGTAGCGATGCGTGAGTTTGCTTTGGTAGCAGATTAACAAACAAATAATCTAAAATTCAATGGTAGATTTATCTGCTGGCTACAGGCTGTATAGACTCCTGTGAGTGACACGATACATATTATTTAGGCCAAAGTTGAAATTAATTAATCTAAATATTATTCCTTTTTTTTTATAAAGCTGTTAATTTGTTTGAAGATTTTTATTTGCTTACTTTTTAAAAAGTTTTTAATTTCATTAATGTTTTTCTAAACAACAAAAATATATTTCAATAAAAATTATTTTTGATTGGGTTGCCTCTCTGATTCAATTTTTTCATTTTAATAATAAATCAATATTCCAACAATATAGATGTGAAAACAGTTCCGAATGAGTTAAAAATGGCATTAATAGATTAACGAAAAGAGAAATTATATGAATTTTGAAAAATTGGCACACATGCAAAGTAAGTAAATGACACTTTTAGGAAAACTTAATATTTCTTAACAATAATTTTCTATAATGAAGATGATGACCGATTGAGATCAAATGATTTACAGCTGTGTACGAGTTTCTATTCCGTCTATGTTCACAAATTTAGATTAATTTATGGTAAAGAAAGGGAGTGGGGTAACTGAGTGGTAGGGCACTAAGCTTCCAATGCTCAAGGTTCCAGGTTCGAATCCCGGCTCATGACAGAAAAATTATTTATTCTGTTTCATTGGCCGTGGGGCGACCCTGGGGTAGGGAGGCCCTCCTACACACCCAGTCTCTACA